TTTCCCCCCCCCCCCATCCTCTGACACACCTCGAGGACACAAGCGTTCTCACCAACTGGAATGACACCGTAGACCGAGGTGCCCGCAAAGAAATATGTCATCTCGTACGGTAGCAGATTGGTAATGCGCACTGCGGGACCAATTGTAAAATGATGTCCGGGTAATTGACGGGGGTGGGTATAACGGTTGGTGTCCAGCGAATTATACAAACCAACCCAGATCGGATCCGGGGGAAAGCGGTCGCGTACAAGGGCAAGACACATGTAATAGGGCAGGGCAGTACTGGGACGCCGAGCAGCGGACGATCCGAAAGAGGATGATGAACCATGAGTTGACAAGTGTGAAGCGGTGCGAACGGACGTTTCTTGTTGGCTTGAGTCTTTTCGTTCTTCACGGTTCATTACGGGAATGTCCAAAAGGCCCGGTTGTCCAACAGAGACGAACGCGTGTGACATGAGAATCGCTTCCACCAGATCTCCTGCAAATGAAGAATGGGTTAAAATATCAAAAAATGAAGCATGGAGAGACAGCGATCAGATTATTACGTTTCTTAGTACTTACGCTTAAGTGTTGAAAACCAGACGGAAGAAATTCCCTTATCACGAGGCCCCAGTGATCGTAGATGACAGTCTATGCTGAATGAAGGGGATGACAGTTACCCCCTAGCTGCATCGCCGGAATGCTTATGGATAACCAATATTACGTTTCAAGTAATAATGCGATAGATTCAATGTGACATTGGCCAACTGTGGTACACTTGCCGATACTGGCTTCAATATCTTCGGATTCAGCTAAAACGACTCATATGCACTTTTGTTTTGAACACTAAAAGGAGTAAACCACATAGTAATCATGAGGATCTACTGTTTATCAATGATGACTGCCGACAAAAGCCTTAGAGATTTGCGGACCACTCCCATAGGACATGAATGATATGGAACCAAAATACAGACAAGCAGGTCACCACCAAAGTTGAGTGCCGGGAGCGGAACTGGAACCTAAGGCTTTAGGTATCAAATCTCAGCAAAATTGTCTTGCCTCTATCTATCATTTATACAGAGTGTTTTAACTTCACACGCTGCTGTACTAGGACTTATATTTTGACTTTGATGAATCAAGATCATTCATAAAATAGAGGCACCGAGAAGGAACAACAAAGAATAACGAAACTAGAGCGAATGATCTGCCGCGGTTATAGGCATTTAGCCAAAGGATACTATCCCATTAGAAGAGGAAACACTGATTGACACAACCTAAATTAGTGCTTTCATCAGTTAGCCTTCACAAGATTAAATGCTAAATTTTCAGTACATATGTAACGTGGTTCACCAATCAACACAATCCTTTACCAGATACTTTCAACCGTGTCCAGTCCAGCAAACGAGCAGCTTCTTCTATATCCAGTTCCTCCAANCTGAATGTGACTCACTAATACTGCTATCCATAGCGTACTCAGGTAAAGTATGGGGCACGTGAACAGAAGCCCAAGAATAACCCCCACTGCCTCGAGGAGCCGTTCTACTGCCGGATGGTCGTTGCAATAAGGGGGTGGCTGTGGATATGGGAACTATTCGTCCGGCTGGACAGAAAGTAAGAAAACCGAGACCAACTGAAGCAGCAGCAGTTAAGTTTAAAGGGATGGACGAAGTTTGACCAGATTCAAGAGAAAGCAACGGAACGCGTTGATCGATAGAACCGCTGAGATTATTCGATTCCAGTAAGACCAATTGGCTAGACCACGCATCGTCTGCTGGATTGTTCACTTCCGTGACAAATGGACTGAGTTGCATTGCGACAAACAATGTGTGTCCAATCGGTAGGTCATTGGTAACGGTCAGGCCAGATCGCAGGATAACCAGATGCTGAAGAGAACCGATACGGACCACCTCGACGACAAGACGAGTATGTGATGGCAGATTACATTGAATAGCCCAAGCCGGGTCGTCCACATCAATCTAGAGAGAGAGAGAGAATAGGTCAGGAATAGGTCAATACAACGGATATTTTGGACCGAACCGAAGGGAAATACCCACTAAGGATTCTTTTTCAAGAAATACAGAAGAGAACTCAATGGGGAAACAAAACACAGATAAGAAACAAACCGTGGGTATTTTGTTGATTATTTTATATATTTCAAACAAAACAACAAAGTGGCGAACAAGCTCGTTTCAGTGATTCGTATTCATGTCGATATATAACAATATAAATCACTACCTGGGCGCTCTCTGCGACAACTGAAACAGAGGGGAGTCACTGATGCGTCCACCTTCAAATGTATTAGGGAAACCGAGACTGTTATTAGGAGGTTATATGGATTGCCAAAAGTAAACAGATGGAGAACCATCAGGACCAATTTTGGTTATGTGCAACTAGCCATACCATGCCCTGTCAAAATGGATGGCCAAATTATTAGAACCCGATCGAGTTGGTTTGGCAAAATAAAATGTCTAAAATACATTTGCTATTGTGAACAATTGTTCGATCGACCAAGTTTGTCACCAATTTTGTTAATTGGCGACAAACTTGTTCGATCGAACAATGGTCTCGCTGGACGTTAGCTCCTTGTTCACAAATGTTGCCATCAGTTAAAAGATTGAATATACGTGCAGTATACAAACTAATAATGTAGATCTGAGCCTCCCTTTCGATGACCCGAAACAACTGCTTTATTTCTGCACCTATAATGCTCAGTTCAATTTTAATGATGAGATCTATTGACAAAACGATGGTGGAGTCATCGGGCCCCCGCTGTGACCGGTTTTCGACCGATTTATTTATGGTGAAATTGGGAAAGAATCTACTACGATTATCCATTGAAGACTGTGCACATGCGGTATGATATGTTTTATCACTGCAACAGCGAATACAACGGAACTATTAAGCAGGTTCAACACTGTGCATCCTAACATAACATTTATTCCAGAAATGCAGTGTAACAGCAAACTGATGTTTCCAGATGTCTGCATCGTTCGTCCATCAGATGGTTCGGTGCAGCATCCCGCGTATAGAAAGGAAAGACCAATACATCCATTTTCGAAGCTTTGTGCTGCTTAAGGTGAACAGGAACCTGGTTCGTTCACTAGCGGATGGAACAAGAAAGATCTACAGTGAGAACACGCTAGAACAGCTCCGTGTTTTCCGTTCGACCTTTGCACGTAACGGGTATTCGGAACGTTTGGACAGTGTCAAACGTCGAAGTATAATGAAGGCTAGTAACTTGATGACGATGGGGATCAAACTCGTTCCACGGTGGCTTGCGCAGTCATTGCGAGATTCCTTCGTAAAAATTGGAACGATCAGTGATTCGCTCTAGGATGATAGAATGCGCTCCTGTAACCAGATGTTACGCAATAAATCGGTAATGAAGTCAACAAGGTCATCGTCCGCCCCCATCTTGAAAAGAGTGGGAGGAAGCCCGTCTGGCCCTGTTGCTTTTCCTTTCTTCAGGGCTTGGATGCAAGAACGAACTTCTCCAGCACAAGGAGGTTCAGATGATATTATCCATGGAGCCTCAGCTTCATCGGAGGAGATAGCCTGGTTAGCGCCTGGCCTGCTGAACTGTTCNCCCACCGGTCAAGCCGTTGTTCCCTATTGTGAATAGCTTGCATACTTTTGTCGCAGTGTTTCACTAACTGTGGTTCGCCGACCTCCCATATTGCGTATCAGTTGAAACAGTCTCTGATTATTCCCTGATACAGCCGCTACTTCCATTTCGCTAGCTATCGTTGCCCACCAGTCCTCACGGTCTTTTTTAGGGCTCCTCGGGGTGATTGATCCCGGGTGGTTGGGATTTGCCGCTTTTTCTCCATCAGTGCTACTGACTCATCAGATATCCAATGCCTCAGCGGGCTACTGCTTCAGATCATCAGGCAACGTTCGCTGCGGAAGGGCATTGCTCGGCTAGTCTGATCTCATTGTTCATTTACACTGCCACCCCGCAGTGCGTTTACCTACTACCCTAGTTCTGATTCAAAACGGGCACAAACGGCTGGGTCAGATAAGCGATGATCTGCCAATCGAGCTTGGTGGAATTTTCTGCGACCAGTGAGTTGGAGAGTGAACTGCATCAAAACTAACACATGGTCAGATTCAACGCATGTGGTCCAATAGGGACGCTAAAATGATGAACAAGCATCTTTTGGTGTTGCTTCCCTTCCGGAAACTGATAGACCCTTGGAGCCGCATCGCAACTAAGCGGCTGTTGACGGGGATCCAATCGAGTAGTGCGGCTTTGGCTGTATTATTCATTACAATGCCCACATCACGCTGGCCTACTGAAAGGGCTCCGTCATCGCCTGACGTGCGGAAAAACAACCTCGAAGACAACCCCGGTGCACTTAAGTGGCATATAGTAATTAGATTCTAAATTCGAGTCTCCGACACGCAGCAGATATCCATTCCCAAAGAGTCCATTGTACGCGCCAGACATGCTTGTTGACCTACCTGCATCAGAGTCCTCACATTGAAGGCCCCCAGATTAAGTGNAGTGGCTGAAGAGGCTTCAGAATATGCAATCTATTTTGTGGTAAACTACTTACCGAGCTACTTGGCAACAAACTATGACGAGTGACGAACAAGTTGTCTGAGGGAATGTTACGGGTTGAAAGAAGAAGGGAGAGCGTTGGGTACGGAAGACAAAGAGTTAATCAAAAGTTGGGATATGTGAGCACTAGCCCACTTATCACTACCCACCCCGCTCGATGCAATGGGCAGCGCGGTCCTGATTATCCTGCTCGACGACCGATGCAGTATGGAATCACTTTTTGAATGTGTAAGCATTTGAGTTTGATGGACGGGTACTGCCAGGGTGTCCGGACACTAAGCAGGAGAACGATTAGGGTTCTCGTCCAAGGCTTTTAGTTCTGACAAGAACCTGACCGCAAGGCAAGGGGTAAGACGAAGTAGAGGCCCATTTACTTGGATCAATTACTCCTCCACCGCTTTTCATCGACTGGAACGCCCAGTTCCGGGCGAGGAGCAGGAGACTGAACTTCGTCCGACCTCTACCCATTGACCTTCCATGGATGATTAGATTTGCGGCTTGAAAAAAGCCGTGTTGGGTCAGAGAGGTGCACAAGCCATCACACCACGTCAAGGTGCAGTCTCGTCGTGACGGCCGAAATACTAATAATCTTCTGGGGTTGCCAGTGGAATGCGATTGATTGGATTTACTTGAAGTTACAATGGATTCCTTTAAACTTGAATAGGTATAGTAATCGATGATGTGATCTGAGTTCATTTTCTCAAGACAATTTTATTCCCAAATAGTGATGTATTGGTATGAATACTGAAAACGGGCTTGTTCGCCACTCTTTCTTTCTTTTGTTTGATACGTGTTCTATGAGACTGTTTCTACAATTGAACGTATTATTCGAAAACCGACTTAAAATGGAACATAAATTGGTCAGATGAGAAATACATAACCCCTTCTACTTACAACGTGTCGGGAGCGCTACGCGTTCCAATGGATGACCCTAAAGAAAATGAAATTAAGGTAGGGCTGGAATGCACCAGGGGCACGATGTTCCGTCCCACTGAAATACATTTGCCCGTTTTATAACTTAGTGCATGCTAACTTCCAATGCAACCCGCAATCAACGAAGTGATACAGGCAGGTTTTAGGTGGTATAAACTGACAATAGAAAAGGGATCTTTATCGATAATTATCCCCTAAACAAACTATGCTTATTTGATTTACCAATATAAATAGCATAGCCATTCAGACTGGTTTTCTGTTTGCGAAACTTTAACCATAGACGGTTTCGGTTGGTCTCTTTTGGCCACCCATTTGAATGAAGGAGTACAAGATAGACTGCGAAGATGAAATTCTTTGACTATGATTAGATCGCTTTTGACGCGTCACAAATTTTTCATATCGAAAACATATACGATAAAATTACCTATTCAAATGTGTCAGTTGGATGTTAGCAGAGATAAACGCACCTCTAGCGCTTCTTGGCGTTCAAGGGTACGGAAGAACACTCCGGGGCGATCGACAGAAATCGGTAAGGCGGCTTTCCAACCGGCAACTTGAATCGCAAGTCGCGGTAATTGGTGCGACAGATGCAAGAGACAGAAGTTCTCTGCAGGCGAGTTACTGGCGGGAGATGTACCAGACTGAATCCCTGCTGGTGCATTATCTGCATTGTGGGATAACAATGGGCATTCCGCACAGGGAATATCGATAGGATCCGAATCTTTTTCTACCTTCTGCCATATCTGAGTGGTTGAATCCGACGGACTATGATAAACAAGCGAGAAAAGCAAAAGCAACGTGAAACAGCTAGCGGGAAACCGTTAATTTGTATTCCGATTGGTATTCATGACTTGTACAAGCACTCTGGCTACACCTCAGTTCGATATGCTATCAACTGATGAACGTTTAATACTATTACTACTAACAATGTCTAAAGCGAGCAGATGAACAGTGAAAGTTTAAGTGAATACTCAAACTGAGTGATTAGTCATGTGCGTTTAATCTTTCAGTTCACGCCAGAGATCTCAACAGATCAGTCACAGGGGAATAATTAGGGGGGAGAAATGTGAAATCCTGAACGGAAGATGGAATCGGAGTCACAGTGTGAAAGGTGATTGGTGTAGCATATATATATATATATATATATATATATATATCACCGGCTCTAACCAGCGACGGTCCTCATCCCTCGAGTCTCAACCTAAAAGGCTGCCAGCACCAAACAAAACCAATTCTGAAAATAACTTTTTCATGCCAGTATGTCAGGGCATGGTCTAATCATCGCGACGCTTCTTATCCAGCACGTTTGAAGCAAACATTGAGTGGTAGACGATGGGCAGGTACACGGAAAAACTTGACAGAATACGATATCCAAAGTCATGAAGAGATAGGCAACAAGCTTGAGTGAATTGACCAAAAGATTACAGACACGAAAAATTTCTCTCACCTGGACGATGTCATCACACCGGTGGGTGCGTCTGGCTGAACCAAGCAATACCAAATCGTCGACCCCGTCTGGTTGGACAATCGCAATTGACTCTGACCGATCACTCCATTTGAACTGGATTTGTTGATTGTCTCTTCCACACATTCTTTCGCTTTTGTCGGCTCGCACAGAGCGCGAATAAGCGAAACCAATGGAATGGTCAAATTAATATTTAGTGGATCCGAGGCTACACAGGGAAGAGAGAAATCAGTTTTAAAATGGGCATGATTTTTTTCAATTAATAGATCTACAGTACGTTTCAATTTGCCAATTTGAATAACTCACATGAGAAAAATAGACTGGTAATCCTTGAGAAACCATTGTTTACGGTGGGATTCCATTCCAAGGAACAGCTGAAATAGAATGAAAGAAAAATGAATAGAAAAAGTAATAACTCAGTATCGATTGCATTCAATCGTTCACACCAACTTGCTCATGCGTGATAAAATCATTGCTATTTTCGAAAATAGTCCAACTTTCTGGTAATGCGAAAAAGTACCGTACTGTCATCCACAGTTCCTACGGGCGACAGCTTGATACAACAAGTTACATCACAAATCAACCTCACCTACGACAGAACAGGACCATGGGGTCTGAAGCCTGTCCGAGACATTGCACCTAATAAGAATTGGTAGACCTGATGAAGTATAGGTGACAAAACCCAACCGGCCAGAACTGGACAGGGTTAAGGGGCGTTTGCAATGTCAACTCATGAAAAGCCCCAGGAGGGCCCATGAACACTGGTGATTCGAAACAGTTAGTGAAAGGGAAAGAGTCGCAGGCGCAGGGAATAGCCGAAGGCTGCTACAGCTAATATGCAATCGAGGAGGTCGATGGACCCCGGCCAGCGATAAAAATGGGAAGATTACTCAAAATAAAGGATAATGAGTGGCGTGGTCGCTGGGTGGAGTACCTATAAGGAAAATATAGCTGTTCCAGTACTAGCGATGCGTTTCCGGCAGCTGGGAGCCATGGGCGATTTCATTTGGTTCCACAATCAAAATAGAAGTACGAACTTGTATTTACAGGCTGAATGGAAGAAAGATTGCTGGATTTGATGACCTCCTTTCAGTCTTTTCGGGGTGAACCCTGCATCAGACCTAGCCAATGGTGTATTCTTTGATCTTGTGACGAAACACCGCTCCTTTCTGTTCTCAAGAAGGGATCTCACGATGACCGAGGAAGTTAGTATGGGATGATTTTAATTACCATAGTCACAAAAGTGCTAAATTTTGTAAAACTTCTCCATTTGGCTCCTTTGAGAGGAAAGAACATCCACTAACAGCAGGCATAATTTCTACCTGGTCGAGGTTGTACTGATCAAATCTTCACGTTCCACAAAGTCCTCTCGTTACGTCTCACGCACCATCAACCAACAATAGCAGTGTTTTTTCAAATGAAAGGAGCTTTTGACTCGATTGATCTTGAGGCTCTATTTGGTTCCCTCTTTCACAAAAGAATGCCCAAACGTATGTCAACCTACTCAGTCTACTGTACTCATCAAGTAGAGATCTAGGGCAACATAAGCAGTTCGTCTGAAACCCGTAGCGCTGCTCGTCCAAGGTAAACTATTTCACTTCATCAAAAAAGAAATACTGAAGAATGCCCTAAAATAACTCCGAAATTTAGGCATTGAATGGAAAGTTGAAGAAAAGTAGCAATTTAGAGTATATCGATGGCATCGTCTATTCACTCAGATTCACGGAGGACACGTAAGATACACTGGGCAGACTGACAAGTTCTATTGCTTCTATGGCACGCGCTTTTCGCCTTCGAAGTGAGAAGTGATGCAATGAGCTTGAGAGTCCAATACCTCTGTTTTGAAACTAAACGGTTAAGGTTTGGCTTTGAGGATTGCTTCTTTCAACAAGGAAACTGAAATAAGAATGAAAGTAGCACAGTCAGATAAGTAACCACCCCCACATCCATGGCTCGAGCCACAGCGAGCAATAGACTGAAGCACATGTGGAGCGTAGGTGACATCCCTTTGAAGTTGGAAGGTTGAGCATAGTACACCACTATAAGATCAGATCTGTTACATGGTTGCGAGATCTTGGGCTTGCGTGTACATCTCCATCGACTACAGTTGATTACGTAATTTGATACTGGCAGGATGGAGCGAGTGTTTGGGTAACAGCGAGGTAAACCGTCGTGCGTCTCAAATGTTTCAGTTGAAAGTTCATTTTCCCACCGAAATAGGCTTCGCTGGGTAGGTCACATATTGCACACGTTCAGCCGCACCTTATTTGCAGTTTCCGCACCAGGTTGGAGAAAATCATGCGGAGGTGTTGACAACAGCGTGATTTTCAGATTATGCAGAAACGAGGTGTCGAGATGCACACAGTAGGTATCTCCCGTGCTCCAGGTTGAAATCCAAGGCTGCAACTGGTTGATTGGAGATACGTAAGGACGTGGCATCGAACCGAAAATAGCGGTGCTTCGACCGCCATTTCTTGAGGGTGGAATTCTTAAAAAAGATTTATCTGGAAGGCTATGGGTTCCGTGTGTTGACTATGGTGATTTACATTCTGTTCCTCGTTATTTCCCGACAGGCCCACTTTCCCCAATCACCTTACGTCTTCTTACTTACGTTGCACGCACTGCGAGCTCAGCAGTAGTTAGTCACATTCGCTATTCGATTATTATGATTCGGATCTGTACAGCGACTCAGTAGTCCCCGTCCGTATGCACAGCAGTAAAAATTACAAACCCACTGCAAGCGGTTCTAGCGAGTCATCATAGGTTGAACACATCTCTATCAAATGCGGGCCCTTGAACAAATTCTTGTGGTACATTTTCCAAGCAGTCTACCGGTATACGAGAATGGTGATCAATCATACAAAAACAAAAACAAATCGTGTGAACTAAATGGCACACGGGTAACACAAACCTCTAACGGTTCGAACCCATCAGTGAATATTCATTACTAGTGGGCTACAAAACAAGGGGAACTTTGAAACTGGTCCCATTAGTGTGTATGTTTAGCTGGAGGAAGTGAGGATTGTGCACAAAAAGGATGTCNAAGGATGTCTACGGAACGGACAGCGAAAAACGATAACAAGACTCAGGCAGATATCAGCTACGACCGTTTGTTTATCATCGTTGACCTAGTGCTCTCCGGGGTGGAATACTTTCAAACACAACTGTGTACCAACAAACGAAGCATCAAATCACTCACGTCCAAGGCTCTAGAGCCGGCTCCCAGCAGACTAAGTCACGATTGAAGTAACTGATAGAGAGTCCAGAACATACGGCCGCGCCGGATTGGTTGGTCAATTGACGCCAAGACATGGTGAATTCTGTAGATAGAAGGAAGATCGTATTTCATTGCGCAATTGACATACAAAATGGGCTCAACAGACTTGCCTATCCGGCAAAACAATTACCCAGAATCGAAGACGCACATGTATCACAGATAGCTGGTATAGTATCACGACGTGGGGCTACTTAAAGGCACCATAAAACTACTCAACCGCGCTACTATCTATCAAAAACAAACAGAAAAACAAATAAAACTAGGGAGAAAGTAAACAAGCAGGAAAACTCACGGTCCGCGCGCAATTTGAACAGAGGGATCAATCCATCAGATGTGATTTCGAATAGCGATAAAACCAAACGAGAGTTGAACTGCAGTTTAGCGAAAAGAAAAGAAAGAGAGAGAACAGTGAGAAGAGAACAAAATCTTCTACCATCATAATATCTGTAAGGTGAATGCACGGAAGAACATGAAAAATCTCTTACAGTAAACTGGTTACATTCTAATTAGTACCAACGGGAACAATCATGTCTATAAATAGAATTAATTGAGCTACGCAAGCATAAGGTAGGTAGGCAACAGAAAATACCAAATAGGTTGGCTACGCCCGCAATCAAATGACGGTCATGAACGAATTCGCAGGACTGATGATAATACACGACGTTGCGAAAACTGCTTCCGCACTTAGATTAAATGCGCGGCAAAATGAATTCCTTTGCATCTATGTACACGCATTTATGGGATATGCACAACGTTGTATACCTCAAATAGGTTCAAGTCCGTAGAAATCGCACGTGAGAACGATTCGGGCCAATTGAGAATTTGAAGAAGTTTGGATACGGGATCTGTATAGGAGGGCAGAATGAAGTCCGGTAAAGATTCTTCATCCAAATCCTCAACCCCGGTGGCTAAAATGAGAACGGAAGTTGATCAGCCAGTTTCCCAATACACCGGTGCTATTTTAGTAGAGTAGTCTCATAACTCAATAAACAAGAGAATGATTGAAGCTTTAATACGGTTTTGTTCTGTAAAAGTGGATTTATACGTTTGAGAAACATATGCGTTCGTCAAGGACGGGATCCATTCACATTCTACTGCATTACAATAATGAAACAACCTTTACTGGTAGTCGAATACCGACGTTAGCTAAAGACAAATCAAAGATGGAAGGGGTCTCTGACAATGCCTCCGCGACGAAGGCTCAAACATGTACTGTATTGAAAATCCATGCGAGCTCTACAAGCAACTTAAGCGGACATTATACAAGGCAACAGCATTGGGAATATGTCGGGATATTTTGAAGCTATCCACATCTTGATGATTGTGCACATTATTTAGATTGCGAAAACAGAAAANACAGAAAATCGAGTTCAAACGAGCACTGATAGAAAATTCTTGCATCATCACATTGAATCACTTGCAGATTACGTTACGATTCGTCTGGCTACTGTCGCGGTGTACACGGCAATGACTGACTATTCCTGCCCCCGCTGTCTCCGAAATAACCGGAAGTTTGTGGTGAACATAGTTGTCTGCACCAAAAACAACCATTATCTACACCCGATGTAGTCGTCCGGGATCATACAAAATGTGATAGTACCTCTTCGTTAACATCTGAACCTGATGAATGCTTTTGATTCGATATCTGAAGTAAACCATTTCCTAATTGTTCCGATTCCAGACCTAGTCCGATACATGCTCAAATATCAAGGAAGATTCAATAAGTCTCATAAATACATTTATCGTTATACACACAAAATAGTAGGTCGGCAAAATACCAGAAAGATTGAGAAGACAGGCATTACCTGCAATCAGGATGCTAAAGAACATGAGTCAAGGATAGACAAAGTCAGTAAGCAAGCTTGTGTGAAACAGTCGACGTCGATCGATCACTCCATTAGAGCGGACAGCTACGGTTTGCATCCAATGGCGGGCCACATAAATGCACGATGACTCTTCAGATGATTGTCAGCGTTAGCGAAAATGTACACACTCGCAACAGCCATCGTAAACTCGCTTTCGTTGATCTACATTGATTCCAGTAATCCCAGATTCCGCAACACTAATTTTATTTGCCAGCCATGTGTCGAGCTATATTGTAATCATTCATATTTTCACTGTTTTCGATATTTACTTGGATTTAGATTGAACATCGTTTAAAATTCATTCCATAATATGTGACCCTAGCATCATAGCAAGGTAATTTGATTTTTTTTTTTCCTTCGTGCTATTCTCGGATTTTACGCCGGATCATTTCGCTGTGCTCTTCGGTACTTCGCGTGCTTCTTACTCAGTGTGTGTGATTGCTCAGCATGGAAGACTAGTTTCAGTCTGACTATAGCAAGCATTTCATTACGGGTAGCAGCTTTATCGACACAACAACCTACGGTGTATTGTCTGCTTAAATAAACTGGTACATTTGTCTAAAATTTTGGTGCGCAATGGAAAGGAAACATCTCGGAGTGAGTGGAAAATTCTCAAGGAAAAGTATCTATTATTATCTAAATTGTATATGAATATACCTAGTGCTCACTATTTCCGCTTCTGGTGAAGTGTATACTGTCTTTAAACACAGACGAGAATCCAACTTTCGAGACTAAAACAAGGCTGAAGAAGATGCGGCAGCTAATATGTATGGGGGAATTAAAATCGTCCAGGTATGACTGGGTGTGCAAACTGTTCATAGAACCACTGGGGTCACGGTAACCGCGCCAAATGCGGTGTACAGACGCATCGCGGCAATGTATTTTTCTCTCCAACTCCAAGAAATATTTGCATTTCCTGTAGTTGTCTGCAAAACGATCAGCCGCACAGGGTGACTCATTTTCCACAACACTCGCAAACTCACCCGAAAATTCCATCTTTGTGGACCGTTCTGTCGTTATTTCTCTGGAGCCTAGTCGATCAAGCTGCCGAGAAATAGCTGAAATCACAGACAGCAATATGTCATAGTTTTTGCGCGATAGAGTAAGGCGCACAGTGGTGGTCTGACAGGATAGCACGAGGCGATCTGTTTGGACAACCTGGAATAAAATTACATAAAACGGAAATATACGAGGACAGTATTCAGACAAAATACTAAAACAATGAGACCTTATTGTGAAGTTATATTAAAAAACAAGAAAAATTAGTTACATGGGTAAACAAATCATTGTAACGATCAAGAACACAGTCAACCATGTGATATGGCTATCGAAGAGCATTTGAACACTAGCTTAGTATGTGTTACAGCTTTCAATACTGCTGACGCACCTAAGATAATTTTGATTAACCATGAAGATCACAGAAAAAGCGATTAGTGATAACAAAAATTCATCATGAAAACCAGGATAAAAAATTAGAATAATTCCGGCTAAGTGATGCCACGAGGCTGGAGGTGATTGTTCATTCCCTAGATTTTAGTAAAATACCTTAAAAAGCTGAAAACTATTACGGATAAGGCAACACATAAAGGCCTGAATGTAGTAATTGAAGACCAACTTTCTTCACTAAAATCAGCGGCTTTGAAACATTTAAATGAGTCATGGATGCATCGAAAAGACAAGTGTGCCCAAGTGAGCACTGACTTAAAGAAAAAGACCAGATTTAATCGTCCGTGAGTTGGATATGATGATTGCCAACTGTTCAAAAATGGGCGAAAAATCATGCGCGTTTCATTCAAGGACGTTTTGAAAATCCTTGCACAATCTTATTAAAACATTCACGATGGGTAGATACGCGAAGAATGACAATGAAGATAGGAAACAAAGAATGTGAGTAGACTAACCGGTTTCGGGTAACGAAATCCCGCAGGAGTTGATTTTGATGTGGGTGTTGAGAGGTTGCTTCGGAAAAGAGCATTCACCGCTGACGGAGATGTTTGTGGTGTCGTGGAACGCCAACTAGATGCCGACCCAGATGATGATGCAGGCTGAGCGCAATGAACCATCGGAACTAAATCAGCTCGAGCTGAACTGAGAGTGGCAATCGGAGAAGTGATTTTCCTACCGGAGCCCCATTGTAATTGAATAATCAAGTGGTGCACGCAGCCGATAGCACGAACGGTTGACAGATTCGGAGATAAGGTCATCCGATTAGTGTATAGCACATTACAGGTGCCCTAAAAATGTAACATCAAGTTATACTTCGTGTTCACAAACTTGGTGGAATTTGAAGTTCATATCTTGATTAGGAATGCGAATCGTCGTATAGCAAAATAAAACGCTGGAAAAATGGGAATAACTGATTGAAGAGCGTGCGATAGACTTCAAGCGTGGTCACAACAAAGCACAACCCCACAGTCACTTTGTGACGTCAACTTTTCAAGAATTTGAGGCAGTTCGTGTAAAACGCTCTTCATTAAACAAACCAAGGAAAGCTTTATGCACCCGATAGGATGAATTTTCAGCAACTTTTACCCGCCCATCCCGTACACAGACATACAGCGATCCTTATCCGATTTCTTTTCCCAGATTTCGCACCTCTCCACTCCAATCTTGTTTTCCCCGAACTGCCAAACTGTGGAACACCCGCCCACTTGCTTTCTTTGTATCTACAAACCATGGAGATTTCCCCTTCCACTGTGATTCACATTGTGTAATAAAGAAATCAGTAAAAGGAGAGGCTCAAACAGAACATAAATAGGAAAAAGTGATGCAAACTGGTGGGTTGAGATATAAGTATCTTTCTTCAAATTCAGGTGCCAGTGCGTTTTATCCGTTTTACTTTATTGTTCATTTGTCGTTTTTGCTAATATCCTAAAGAAAGACTTCAAACTGCTTCGACTTGGACTGAGCATTGGTCGTGTTTCCTTAATACCGCTGAAGGAGTAGATAACTAACCTAAACTAGCGTAATTCGAATGGATGTCAGAAATAACATCAGATCCTAACGGATTCCATACGTACACTCCATAGAGATTTAATTTCTTGCACTTTTCCACCAGTCGATTAGATCCCAATCTTGTAGTGGTCCTTCTCGCATAAACATATATCTTAACTATACGGTACCCTCTTAAGCACGTATTCTAGTTAAAACATAACTGGTTTTGGAGATTTATGAAAAGTTTCGGGACCCAAGTCCTCCCCTCCCGTTCCTCTCTTTAATGTGTACACTTCTGATTGAAATTTAGGCCTACAGAAGTTATAATAGCAGCAACAATATCAGATTTTTAAAAGGCGTTTCGAAAAGTCTAGGAATACAACCAATGATACAATAGAAAAAAATCAAAAAATTTGAAAACGGGGAAAAATGGAAAGAGGATTATCATAAGAATACTAAGCTGAAAATAGGACGCGTGACAAAGTATAGGAACCGCACCACCCTCTTTGCATCTCATTTCTACCTGAGATAAGCTGATTAGTTCCATCTGCTGATTTGGTGTACTTTTTCCTTTTTTCGCAAAGAACGTTACAAAGAACACTCCAACCAATGTTTTCGATTAATTCCTCCATTGTAAAAGATATATGGGGCTCACCTCGGTGTAGGAACAACAGAGCTAATCATGGGCTTAAACAAGAGTCATAAACTATCAAGGAAGAATCCAGCCATTATAAAAGTAATTTACATGGGTCCATTGCTTGGAATCATCACTGGTATGATAACAAAAATAACGACAGATTGCCAACAAAACAAGAATAACGAAAGGAGTACAGTGAGGTTATGCGGCATTCTCTGTCAACGTCCAAAGCGGACCACTTTTACTTGGGGGTATTCAAGATTCCGCAAGTAGGAACAGATTCCCCTCCCGGTACTGACCAGTAGATTACAAGATGACATACTATTGTGATGCAAGGTGGTAGAAACAGAGCCTCAGCAAGTAAACAAATCGCGAATAGGGTTAATCCGAACAGATGCGCAGACATAGCGATTAGAAGTGCATCACAAGACAATGTCGACTACCATTCGAAAGGGACGAATCGAGAATTACAGCCCGACGGACAATCCACATTTAGCTAGAAAGATATCCACCGAGTACCACAACGTCGAAGCTGTCCATCAACCCATCTCGGGCTACGATCGGATCAACCCAGTCGGAATGGCATGCGAAGGAAGAAGCAAAATACGTGCCAAGTGCGGACCAACAACAAAGGGGATTGACCAAAAGAATGACGCATGAAACATCCTGCCATGCGGTTAGGAATTGATTGTATATAATTGAACGCATACACCGGTTGTTTTTGAATTGGATCAATAAACG